GCGTCGACAATCTTCACGTTGCGAGCCAGCTCCTCTGCGCGCCTCATCATCTCTTCTTCAGTTGCCTGTGCGTCAATCGCCGTCTTGGAGTTTCTTAGCTGCCGCACACGACGCCGCGCCAGCTGTGACAACAATTCATCCTCCTGCAGCGGGATGTCACCAAGGCACACGCCCAGCACACGTCGTGGGAGAAACGGGTACTGCTCATGCGCCCTCTCCGTCGCCTCCGCGCGCTCCTCAGCCAGTCGCGCCACCAACGCAGTCATCTGCTCCTCCGTCGCTCGGATCGCGGCTGCGTTGCGTGTCGGGTCCCGGCGCTGCTCATCCAACTTGTTTGAAAGCTCGCGGAACGCTGGCTGCTGCACCGGACGCACATCACCAAGAAGAATGCCGCGCACCGGCTCCTCGGGAAGAAACGGGTACCGCTCGTGCAGATCCTCATTGCGAACGGCGTCAAGCCGCCGAGCCACTCGCACCTCACGTGCTATGCGACATGCCTGGTCACGCAGCTCCTGCTCAAGGCGCAAAATCCCCGCCGCATCGCCCGAGGTCGCCTCCTGCGCGTGCCGTGTCGCCAGCTCCGCAAAATTGGGATCAGACATGAGAGCCAACTCACGCAGAGGGACTCCCTTGACACTCCGCCCCAGAAATGGAAATGCCGCCGCAAGTGCCTCCTCCTCCTCCAGCACCGCCTTCGCCATCGCTTCCGCACGCTCAATCATTTTTTTTTCGATGCTTGTAGGACTTTCCGCATCAATGAGCCTTTGTGAAGCTTTTTGTTGTTCTAATTGCAGCATCACCGTGTCCTCTTCAAGGTGTAGTTCAGTGATGGGAATCGCATGTACGTGTGAATTTAAAAACGAAAACCTTGTGGCTGATCGCTGTTCAATCTTTTTGTGGTATTTGGCCAATTTCTTATTATCATTTTTTATCTGATTTTTCCTTATTTCAATTTGTTTTGCAAGCCTTCTTAAAGTTGATGTATCCTCTGGCAATTGCCCGTTTTCAAAAGCGCTGTATTCTTCCATGAGTCCCTGGTAATATTTGTCATCGACAATGTCATCCTCCATATCAAATACGTAGTAGTCGACAGCTTGTTCCTTGAATGGTACGTGCCTCCCCTCTAAATCAATAATCTCCCCTTTGATTTGTCCCTTATGTCTTATTATCTGCCGATTGATTTCTTCTTCAAGCTCAATAACACTGCTTTCGTTCCCCTCAGCGTTGTCCAGTTTCTCCTCGAGATCACTGACAAGTTTGGCAATGACAGGATCCTTCAACATTTCAGGGTCAATGCTACGGCCAAATGTTGGATATGATTTTCGTACTGCATCCAATTCTTGCACCCGTGCGGCACGGTCCTTTCTACTTCCCATAATGATCCGCTTGGCGTCCTCAAGTAAAACCGGTGAGGGGTTTTGGGCACCGTCGCCCGTGTATGTTTGGAACGCCCGATGGTCCTGTAGGTGGCGAAGATCCTCCAGGGACAATGGATGCAACGCCACAAACGTTTGTTTAATTCGCTCAATCTTCTCAATTTCATGTAAAGCAAGACTGTCCGCTCGTAGCACCAGGCGGAAGCGTGCAATTGCCGCAACGTCTTCATCCACGGAGGGCTCCTGCATGAGATTTTCGTACTCACGAAGTCTTTCAGCAAACAGCACGTCGTCGTCCAAAGGAAGGTGACGTAGCGGAAAGCATTTCCGCGATGTATACACAAAGTATGGGTGCTGTGAGAGTACTGCATCATCGTTGTCCGCAAGCTGCGCTTCGTTCAGGTTCTGACACACCACCAACTCCTGCGCCCTCGACTTAAGAAGAGGCTCTTTGTCCTCCACTCTCTCGGTGGTGGCAGCGGCAAAAAGCTCATCCTCCTGCAGCGGGATGTCACCAAGGCGCACGCCCAGCACACGTCGTGGGAGAAACGGGTACTGCTCATGCGCCCTCTCCGTCGCCTCCGCGCGCTCCTCAGCCAGTCGCACCACCAACGCAGTCATCTGCTCCTCCGTCGTGCGGATCGCGGCTGCGTTGCGTGTCGGGTCCCGGCGCTGCTCATCCAACTTGTTTGAAAGCTCGCGGAACGCCGGCTGCTGCACCGGACGCACATCACCAAGAAGAATGCCGCGCACCGGCTCCTCGGGAAGAAACGGGTACCGCTCGTGCAGATCCTCGGACTCGATGGATTCACGCCAGTTCCGGACGCCGATTTCACGAGCAACGGCAAGTGCAAGGCTCTCCATCTCACGCAATAAACGACGACAACGCATCTCATTGTCGTTGCTGCCGGCATCACGAAGGCGATTGTAGTACGCTGCCTTTTCTGCAAACGTTTCGTTCTCCTCCAAACAGATGGTGAGTGTTTCCACCCCCTCCAATCGGTTGGGGATAAACGGATATTTTTCACTCAGTTCCTCAGAGAGTTTAACACGCTGCGAGGCGATCCACCTTACTCTCTTGTTAGCATGACGGCCAAGGCGTTCAAGCTCGCTGGACGATGCATCTGGCGAGGTAAGAAGCCGCCGTCGCTGTTCCACAATAGACATAAATTCCTCATCTTCCTCAATGTCAAGCACTTCTAATGTGTACCCTTCATGACGGCGTTCAACAAATGGGTACTTTGCTTCAAGACGCAGTCGCCGCCGGAAACCGTTTGCACTTACCTTGCGCATCCATGAATTCATCTGTACAATCCGGTGCTGCATCTGATGCATCAATTTCACCATCAACGGAGATTTTTCCCCTTGCTGTGCCTGAACAATATTTCGTTGTTGCCACAAATGTACGTAGTAATCGTCCCTTACTTTTGGTACATTTTCAAGAGAAAGGGACCCTGACATAACAGAGTCAATATCGTAGTACCACTTCTTAAGTTCCTTGGAGTCACGTCGGCGTGCCGCTATAGCTTTTATAGCTCCCATCATTTCAGTCTGCAAATGACTGTCATTGCCCTCTGTTCGCAGGCGCATGACGAGGTTAGCTACTGTTGGGTCCTCATACAGCATTAACGTAGACAGCCGTTGATGGTGCGGCATTTCTACTAAAAATGGAAACTCCCTATGCAGCTCCTCGTCATCGACAGCAAGGCAGGAGCGAATGATGGTCGCACGTTTCCAGAGGGCTTCCAGCTTGTCCCGTATCAGGGCATTGATTGTGTCCACCGAAACACCCTCACAGGAGTCAGGAAATTGGCGTACACGAAGAAGATCACGCAGTTGCATGTCTTCTGTGAGGTCCTTTGTGTGGACGGAGTAGAGTTTTGAGGGTGAAAGCCACTCTGCAAGTTCCCCTCGCCAAAGAAACATCTCCCCCTCCATTTCTGCTACACGCTGAGCCATTTTTTCTTGAATGGCCTGAATTCGGGCAGTATTTCCCTGGGTGTTGACGCACTTTTGCATTTGATCCGTCAGAGCGTTAAATCTCTCATCTTCCAATACATATAACCAAGGAATAGGGTGCATCAAGTTTACATATCCTTCGTGGGCCTCGTTAAACTCTTCATCCATTCGGTCCATGTATGCCCGCTGCAATGCGGTATCTTCAGCCTTTTTAACAACATATTCTCGTAAACGGGACTCCAACTCTCTTCTCGTGTTGGCGTCTTTGCTCGCATGCAGAAGACGGGCAAATTCCTCAAAAAGTACATCATCGTCAAGTCGCAGGCTGGCGGTATGCACGCCGTTAATGACGGCCGGCAAAAAAGGATATCTTTTCAATACATCACCGTCCTGTATAAAACGAAGCAACTCCCATATTCGCTCTTTCATTCGCTTTTCCAAATTTTTTGCGTCCGATGTTCCACCCGCCATCCGCGCCCGCTTGTGGGCAAGATCCACAAAAACTTCGTCTTCAAGAGGCCGCACATCACTGAACGGAAAGTCTTCCGAGCGAGTTGCAAGAAAAGGGTATCGACGCAAAAACCCTCGCTGCACCACCGGCCGCGCCGCAAGGCGTTGCTCAAGGTATACAAGGTTTTCAAGATATGCGATGTAGTCAGGGTCGTCATTCGGCACATCTGCCTCAGCAAAAACAATGCCGGCCTTCTCAAGTGTCTCTCCCGCATGAATCAGGCGATTCAGCTCAATTTCAACTGCGCCCTTGTTGTTTAGCAAAACGGCGTACTGTTTGCTGTGAGGCCCAAAAAGTTCACTTGCCTTCTCTGCAGCCTCCCGCAACAACGTTAAGCAGTGCTCACTGTACTTCTCTGGGTCCCAAGAGCGATAAATATGTGCGCCATCCATCAGAAGCGAAGGCAAGTCGAGTGTAACGGTTGGTTTTTTCTTGCTCACAGTAATGGCGGTGAGAAGAACCCGAATAGCGTCTTCATAGCGCCCCTCTGCCTCGAGCTGAAGACTCAGGTCCCACAAATACAGCATAAAGAAGTCGGAGGCCCAGCCAATCGTACTTAATTCAATAGATCGCTCCACAAGTTCCTTTGCGTTGACGGAGCATGATGGGAGCAGCCGTTTGCATTGTAAAAGCCCCTTGTATGGTTGAAGGTGCAGCCAGGAGCCATGCTCACTCGTTAAGTACGCAGGAAGTTTTCCAATGGCTTGGTAAAAATGATGCACCGCCTCCTCCACACAGCTGCGGTATGTGACAAGATCATCGTGTTGATACACGAGCGCAATGCGAAGGATCCAAAAACCGTACTCAATGTGACGTCTACCCTGCGTCACGCAACATGTCAACTCCTCAAAGCCCCGCATGACACCGGGAAACAAACTCCTCCCCTCAGCAATACAATTCTTCTGCATGGTTGCAAAACACACCTCGCACACATTGCGCCTTGAATAGATAGAGACAATGGCAGACTCCCCGTAACGATTTCGCTGAGCCACGGCCGTCGCATGCACAAGATCCAACGCCTCATCATAGTTCCCATCCCAGCATGCCACTTTACAACGCATGGGAATGCAAAATGCGTGGCGATGACTGTCCTGCGTCATGATGGTGCGGTATTTTTCAGCAAGAATACGCACTCTTTTAGGGTCAATTAACTGAGGGAGAACACGTGCGTTCACGTTCACGTGCCAAATCATGTTGGATTTTTTTTCGCCCGTTTTTTCGATCGTTACTCCCAACAGGGCACAAATCCGTGCCACAATTTCTGCCTTTCGGCTCAGCCGTACCGTGGTCAGTCCGCGTATAATGTCATTGTCTTCGTCCACAACACCGTACTTCTTTGCCACCACCTCCAAAAAGCGACTCTGGAATACATCTACGGTTGTAAAGGCCTCCGCCATATGCTTGGAGAGCGTCGCACTAAGTACCTCGTCGTCATAGGCAATTCGCTTCCCCTGTACTTCCAAGTAGAATTCCTGCTTGACCGACCGAGCGAGCATCTCTACAAAAAGTATCTCCTCCACTTTGGCCACTGCTGCCGCACTGTAGCCATCTGATGTCGCAATCTTCTGAATCACCTGTTTTAGCAGACACATGTTGACACCAAATCCATGCAAGTGCTCACATACAATTTTAAGGCAATCGGTGATTGTAGAAGTCCCGCTGTCCATACAAGACTCCACAATAGCATCCAAAACCTCATCCTTGTCAAGCACTGCAACAGTGTCCTCATGACTATCCGTCACACATTCGCACACCCGCAACATCTCCTGACGCTTCATAATAGTATCATCGACAAAAAGTGGTGTTAACGTGGAGTTTGAATTGGTCAAATAAAACCGACCATCTAGCCCTTCGTAAACCTCAAGAGTACCATCAGGAAAAGGAATGTTAAGAGCCTCCGCCATGTGCAAAATCTCCGCCACCACCTCCTGATTGTTTGTCGAGCCCGCACCGTACAGTCGAGTTGGCTCCCGCGGCATCGGGACAAGAGCCTGCGCCAGAACCGGCATACCCCGGTAGAAAAACATACATGAAAGCGGCACAGTCAGGAGGCGCGTGCGGCTTTGGAGTACTCCGCGGAGCGACGCCACGTAATTGCGCCCGGAACGACTGTCGGGCAGGACGCGGAAGAAGATGTTGTCGACGCGGTAGCACTGCAGAAACTTGGGCAACTCCCGTGGCCCGTCGTCGTCCAGCATCACAATTTGTTTTACAGTGCGCGTCGCCTCGGCTACAAACTCCCTCTCAACGCGGCAAAGCTGCTCCATGCGGGCCTCCGCCTGAGAAATCGTGCTGTCGTCCATCTCCCACGCCAACTGGAACTCCGCGTTCCAATCCCTGCCGTGCCGCGTGATATCTGCGCAGGATGAGAGGAACGGTTTGGGTGCCGTCTGTTGCATTGGGAATGATGCCGATTTCCTTATAGAGAGACGGTGCCGCGATGCCTCTAGCATAGAGACGTGCTTTGATACGGAGAACCGAGAGCCAGTGCTGGCCGTAGGCGAGTGTGAAAAACGTGAAGCCCCCGAACCGGGGACGGAGGGTTTGACTTCGGGAATAAAAAAGACATTATGCCGCTTTTCCCGCTGCTGTATATCCGTAGTATGCGGACGACGCATGTCACGCCTGTGTTCAAGACCACACACAAAAAAAAAAAGAAAAAAAAACACAAACACACACACACACGCACACAATTTATTCCTTCAGGAAATCGTTTCTAGTGAAATTAATCTAAATAAAAACCGGCAAGAAGAAGAAGCAATAATAACAATAATAATAAATAAACCATTCAACCACATATATATATATATGCATACATATGGATATTTGCGAGCAGGGCAGTCGGAGCTATCCTTTTTCCTCCGCCACCTCACATTCCAAGCAAGCCGCGTTGATGCTCACCACTTTTTTTTTTTTTCCTGCCCGAATGAAGAGAGAGAGGGGGGGGAAAAAAACGTCCTAAAGACCCGCAGTCCACCGTTGCATGCCCCCACACCCACCCAAGCCAACACCTCCTCCTCCTCCTCCTCCTCCTCCTCTTCGCAGAAACACACGCACTTTTTTGCTGTTGTTTTTCTTTTTGGACAGACACGTATGAACGCCAACAAAAACAACCAAAATAAATAAATAAATTTAAAAAAAAAAAAAAAAGAAGAAACTGACTAAATATAAGCTTGCAATCCAGTCAATCGATAAATAAAACATCCTGCCTCGCACAGTACGTGTACTCATTTGGTCGACAAAAAAAAAAAAAAAAAAAAAAAGATTATCCTTCGAGCGGACAGCCGTCACAGGGTCGCGGTGCGGCAGAAAAAAGAAAAAAAAATAATTCAAAAATGAGAATAAAAACAAACGCGAAAACGATGACAAAAACAAAAAAAAGAAAAGAAAAAAAAAAAAAGAGACTTTAAGTCCGCATCAAACTGGGACGCAGCGGATTGCCAGGCCGAAGCGTCTCTTTGCTGTGCGATTCAGACAGGGAATTGAGAAGCACCTCACAGTACGTCCCGTACCTTGCCGGATCATACGCACGGCACACGTTGATGAGGTCGTACATTAATATCTCAGAGTCCAAGGCCGAGCGAGGCACCTTTCGAAGCATGTTGAATGCAATCTGGAGTATCTCGGAGGCCATCTCGTATTTCTCGTCGCACTGCAGCTCCATGCCCAGCTCCCAAAGGTACTCCACAAAGTAGTCCACAGGGGTTACAATACGTGCCAACTGCTCGGCGTCACGTGCAATATCGGATACATCCACAAATCGCTCCGGCCGCATCACTTGTTTGCAGCGGAGAATCCCTAAAAAGGGACGGGTGTAGAGCCAAGCGCCAAAGTCCCTGCGAATCTCTGCGGGTGCTAAACGTGAGGCAATACAAAATTGATGCAACGCCTTTTTCCTAAGGTCAACAATACCGGAAATGCCCAAGAACCAGCATGCACATTCAATGTGGCGACGCATCCGAGTAAGCGCCCCAGACTGCTTGTCAAACCCGTCTAACAGGGTGTCAATATGCTTGCAGCCGTCAGAAATCCATTCAATCTTGTCTTCGCTCAGCAGCAATTCGCAAACTTCACGTAGGGCGTAAAGGTAAGGAAGGCCCACTTCGCCATGTCGTGCTTTCTCCGCAGCTGCCACCTCAAGTGCATACCGCAGCGCCGTCTTCAGATCCCCTTCCCAACGCGCCGACTTCGACTGCAGCGGCAAACAGAATGCATACAGATGTTTCTTCGTCGTTTTCGTAACATTATATTGAAGAGCAAGGGCCTGCACAATTTTGGGATTGACAGTTGGTGGCAAAACACGAGCATGAACCTCCGGCAGCCACGTAAACTTCTCCCCCAATGATGTTTCCTCAGCGCGTAATCGAGCGCCAATAAGAACCGCAAGACGTGCAAAGATGTCATGTCTTTTCAATTGACGCACATTGTCACAGATGGCAATTATGCTTTTGTCGGAGGCCCCAATGTTGTACTTGCGCGCCAGCACGGGCAGAAACTCCTGCTTGAAATGCCCGGCATCCAAACCGCATGAGATGTAGCGCGCAACATCATTCTGAAGCATCAGGCCATCGTAGGCCGTTCGGTTCGCCTGAACACGCAAGTAAAGTTCCTGCTTAATGGCCCTGGCGAACATCTCGATAATAACGCAATTCTCCAAAGCCTTTACCCCCTCCGTATCCGCACCCCTCCTCAACAAAAACGCCTGAAGCACTTCCTTCAAGAAACGAAAATTGATACCGTAAAAGTGAAGAATGTCGCACAGTTTATTCTGCGCCTCTGCCTGGACCACACCCTTCAACTTCGCCAGCGCATCCAGAAAAGGCGGGGCATGCATGACAGAAAACACGTCCTCCGGCCCAGACGTCACAAATGAAGAAAAAACAAGCATCTCATTACGTTTTAAAGTGTGGCTCAATGAAAAACTTCCTGCAAAATACATTGTGGTGATATTTGTCAAGGTGCAGTACCAACGGGCATCCAACCCTTCGTAAACCTCGCACAGAATGGATTTTGGCAAAGGAATGTTAAGAGCCTCCGCGATGTGCAAAATCTCCGCCACCACCTCCTGATTGTTTGTCGAGCCCGCACCGTACAGTCGAGTTGGCTCCCGCGGCATCGGGACAAGAGCCTGCGCCAGGACCGGCATACCCCGGTAGAAAAACATACATGAAAGCGGCACAGTCAGGAGGCGCGTGTGGCTTTGGAGTACTCCGCGGAGCGACGCCACGTAATTGCGCCCGGAACGACTGTCGGGCAGGACGCGGAAGAAGATGTTGTCGACGCGGTAGCACTGCAGAAACTTGGGCAACTCCCGTGGCCCGTCGTCGTCCAGCATCACAATTTGTTTTACAGTGCGCGTCGCCTCGGCTACAAACTCCCTCTCAACGCGGCAAAGCTGCTCCATGCGGGCCTCCGCCTGAGAAATCGTGCTGTCGTCCATCTCCCACGCCAACTGGAACTCCGCGTTCCAATCCCTGCCGTGCAATGGGGAGTATTCCGCAGACGCATTCACGAAGGCGCGGTCCATAGTGGCACTCGCCCTTTTGCTTTTATTTTCTTTCGGCTAATTTTTTTTTTTCTTCTTTCTTCCTCCTTGTCACAGACGGCAGGCCGTTAAAAAAAAAAAAAAAGCCAGGAAAGGAGAGTCGGCAGAGTGAGAAGCAGCAATGAACAGGTTATGCACAACACGATGCACACAACGCAACAATTGCGACGCCCTTCCAAGATTTCACAAAAGAGTCCAAAAAAAACAAAAAAAAGGAATCCTGGCAAGGCCCCAACCTCCTTTCTGCACAATGGCCTCCCGCTTCTCCTCCAAACAAATCAAAATGAGGAGGTTCTCTCTGCGTTGGCGCGGAACGCCGTGTTGATGCCATGAGCGGTGGGTCACACAAATAATCCGCTAAGGTCCATACGCTTCTTATGGCGATTGTTACGCTCGACGCATTTACGCCATACGACCTACTCGCGGATCCACAAAAAAGAAAAAAAAAAAAAGGAAAGAAAACTTCAAGTGTGCCTGTAAAAATATCACTGCGTGAGACCGTGTCGACATTCTCCAGGTAACAAAGCCACGGCCCAAAGCGTGTGCTTCATGTACAATGAAGCGGAAACCTGATCGATGTGTTTCCCATGGGCCCTCCTGTGTGAATGACGCCACCCAGTGCCCTGCCCTCTTGCCGGCATATGGCGTCGTAAACTACATCCCCATCCGCCACCACTCTTCCTTCGTTTTTCCTCTTTGTGTTTTTTGTTTACCTTTCGCCATGCAATGAGTTTACAGTCGGATTTGCAACAAGTCATCGTACTCATCGTCATTCGCATCCCGTGGACGCTTTCGCTGCTCGGGTGCCTTTGTCAGCCCCTTCAGCACCTGCGCCCGCACATCGCTGCGCTGCATGAGCGTCTGCAACTGTTCTTCTTCGCTCACGCCCATTTTGACGTGCGACACGGCACGCTCAAGAGCGCTCGGAGCATCCATTTGTGCCCGCTGCTTTCGAAACTCCCGACGCCCACCGCGTTTTTTCTTCACCTCCTCCCCCCGCACAAATACATGTGGTACAGGAAGCGCCTGCGTGTCGGTGGCGTTGACTTTTCCCTCCGCCAGCAGCAGCTCGAAGCTGTGCCGCACTTTTTCTAGCTCCGCCTCGCCAAGCGCGCCAGATGCAGAGCCGCCCGCGAGGTCCGCCTTTGCGACGATGCTACACTTGCGGGCCAAAACGGCAATTGCCTTTTTCGCCGCCTGAAGGTCATCTGCCCGCACCTCGTCGCTGCCAAAGAACTCTACAAAGATGGGCGTCTCGACAATGCAACCAGCATGAAGGTGCCTGGCGCGCTGAAACTGCGTCGCGTCATCGAGGCCGAGGTGGCGAATTGCCGCGTCAGAAAGACGTGCAAGACCGACCAGGCCACTGGCCTTTTCCAAGAGCTGCTTCGCCACATCCCGACCGACCAATGCAAATAAATTGGGAGAAGCAGCCACGCTGTCCTTCGCCATCGGTGGCTCCCACCAACCCCTTTCACTACCTTTTTATTACGCTCCACTTGTGTGTGCGTGTTTTTTTCCTGCAGCCTCAGAGAAAAAATGACGACAATACACAAAACAAAAAAAAGAAAAGGAGTCAGCCACACGCATCGGTAAATATATCTAAATATATCTAGATACCCGCATGTGCATATAAATAAGAGGTGGGTGCCATAAAAAAGACACATCCAAAGTCAGTTACGCGACCTTTTCACACGCAGAGAGCAACGTCAGGCAGAGACAGGCCAGCGTCCTCCCACAGCTGCTTAAAAACTCACACACAGACACACACACAGAGAGTCTATAAAAAAGACATAAAAAAAGCCGTTTCATTTTTTTTTTCCTCTTCTTCTTTCTCTCCTTCAATTCATTTTTTTTTTTTTGCCTTCACATTCCTCTCCAACGCTCCCCATTGTTTCACGCCGCGGCAGATGAGCGTCCCCTTTTTCTTCCATCCCGACGCATCGCAGCCTTCAGGAGGCGCACAACTTCATCGCACTCCACCTGCAATATACGTCCACGCTCCTCCTCGTAGGCCAGTCGGCCGGCGGGTGTATCATTCAGTGCAGAGAACAGGCAATCGGCCAGACCCTCGTCACGTTTCAGGGTCAGAAGGGGCGGCCCACACTCCAACCGCACACGAGCCCGCCGCCATGTGTCCCATCCGTCATTTGCCTGCAGCACCGGTGCCGCATCCTCCTTCAACTCTTCAAAAAAAATATCACGGAAGGATGAACACTGCAGTCGCTCCTCCCCATCCCCCACCTGCATTTTATCCGCCGGGCGGCAAAAGTCGCGGGACAACCAAAAGTCCACCGCACCAAGCCTCCATGTAGCAATCGCGTAATCCGCCCCACTCCCACCACGAGGTCGAAACACCGCCGTGAGGCGGTCCTCTGTCACAGTGAGACGCGCAATAAAAAGATCGTCCGGTGCCTCCGCCACAAACTCATCGCCATTACTTGACCACGAGTAATGCTGAAGCCACAGCGGGTGCTCCCGCCGGATCATCGGCTCGACAGGACGAGTGTTTTGGTACAAATCAACGCGAGCAATGCGTGTGCCGCCGAGAAAACAGGTTGTCTCGTCAGGCGAAAGAGCCAGGCAGCGCACAGAAAACCCAACGCTCACATCGCAGAGGGAGGAACGGGTCGTTGTGTCAAAAACAATAAGGCGACCGCCTAAGCCGCACGTCGCTAGCCAGTTCCCCGAGGAGAAAAAAGTCATTGCCGTTAACGGTAACGTGTGGCCGGAGAGGCGGTCCGTCTGCGCCACGCCATTCGTCAGGAGATTTAAAACCGGCTGCACCACGGGCGCCGCATCGTGACCGGCGGAGGCCACAAGGTGGGAGGCAGAGGCGCACATGCAGTGCACCGGACCATGATGGAGAGCCCGCGCATACACGCAGACGCCAACAGTACCCACCTCCGCACCACTGCTCGGCTGCGAAAAGGCGAGAACGCAGCCTGCATCGGTGCCTACCACCACAATGCGGTCCATCACAACCATCGCGGAGGTTACACGGAGTTTATCGCCAAGGTGCTGACCCAAAAGCGTCGCCACTTCCAGCGTCGGCATTATCTACGCACCTTCCTTTCCACCAAAAGGGAGCCTCTTTCACATCGAGACAAACACAAACACATAAAATAAATAAATAAATAAAAATGAGGAAAAAAGAAGTAAACTGCTGTTTTAAATATATTTTCCTTTTCTTGTGCGGCACCACACACACACACAGAGAGAGAGAGAGAGAAAGACACGCAGCCTCCATCTTTTGCAAAACAAACGGCTCTGTTGTTAGTTGTCGGCACCCTCGCTTCTGACGGTCCGTGCAGGCTTCAAAAAACATCTCGACAAGCAACGGCACAAGTCAAAAAAAAAAAAAAGGAACCCCCACCCCACCCACGGCTGTGCGGCAAATTGATGTTAAAAAAAAAACGGACGCCCTAGCCACCAGTCAAAAAATAATAATAACAATAATAAGGAAAAAAGACACGACTGCATCCATGCATATTTTCTTTTTTTTTCTTCTTTTTTTAGTTCTCTTTTCCTTTTAATTCGGTTGGTGGGGCGAGGAGTTCTTTCTCTCGCTCTCTTCCTTTTCCTCCTATGCTCCATTTCCTCATAATCCGGGGACGCGTCGACAACAAGTGCGAGTTGTCACATTGTCCAGGCCCACACTCAGCCACCCAAGTTCTTCATGTTAAGCAGCAAATTGGCATCGGTTGGGACAAAAATCACATTTTTCATCGGCACCAGCTGCGATGCAATGTCCACTACTGCCTCAATACGCCGCAGCTCCAGCAGGCCCTGGCCAGAACGTTTGATCGCTTCCGAGATGAGACGCGCTGACTCGGCCTCGCCCTCCGCCCGCACAATAGCCGCCCGCTTTTTCTGTTCATTCTCCTGAACCACGTAACGGAAACGCTCCGCCTCCTGCTGAGCAACCTGCTTTTGCTCCACGGCAATCATGAACTCCTTGCCAAACTGAATGTCCACCAGTGAAAGATCCTCCAGGACAAGACCAAACTGTGCCACCTTCTCTTGCATCAGCTGATAGATGCGTGCAGAAACCGCGTCACGCTTCTGAATCAGTTCTTCCGCCTTGTACTCTGCCACAACTGCCTTCAAGATCTCATTGCTGATGGAAGGAAGAATACGTTCATCGTAGTCCATTCCAAAGGTACGATAGATCTGCGGCAGTCGCTCAATTTGTGGGCGGAACAAGACACGTAGACGAATGTTTACCATTTGAAGGTCCTTTGTGCCCGTCATGGTCTGCAGCAACCGAGGCCGGACACGAACGTTAAACATCTTGATGTCATCCAGGCCCAAAATGCGAAATTGCATACCTTCGCCGTAAACCGAATCTTTAAGACCAGTAATCTTATTATAAAGGATGGCAGCCTCCCCGGGACGAACGACAAAGCAGCAGCTGTAAATGCCTACTGAAGCAGCCACCACACCAGTCATAAGGTGTCGAAGAAATTTCAAACTCATCGTGTGGCCCTCACCTGAGTTACTAACAAAAAAATAAATAAATAAATATGTAATAATAATAATAATAATAACAATGTGTTTATGCAATTAATTATTTAAATAATTTATGCTACGTGTAAATGTTTGCTTCAGACCCTGTCACCACCAGCAACAGCAGCAATTTCAATAAGAAAGAAGAAAAAGAAATAGAAACATCCAAGAAAGAGACATGACAAAAGCAATGGCAATAATAATAATAATAATGCTCCTAAAAGCGCAATGGCAAGAAGAGCTAACAGCTGGTAATTAAGCGTCGTTCAACCACAGAAGGGTAATTCATTCATGCCTCCTCCCTTTTTTTTTCTTTTTTTTTTTTTTCTTCCTCTTCTGCTTCTTCTTAGCACGGGCTCTCCGTCGTGCTGTTTATTGTTTGTTTTTCTTTTTTTCTTCTTTTCTTTTTTCCATTCATTTGTTGTTGTAAGTGTAAGTGCACGGATGCGTAATTCCCCCCCCCCCCCCCCCCCCCTCCTCTTTTTTTTTTCCAACTAAACCACAGGGGGAGAAAAGAGGAATATCGCTTTTCCTTTTTTTTTTTTTTTCGTTTGCGTGCGTCATCGCCCTTTTTACCCCCTCCCTTCAATTTCCCACCACCTGTCATTTATGCCTCGTTTCATTGGACAAAGCTTTGGCCCGCATGTCTTCTTCTTCCCACCACGGTGACCATCCCCCCTCCCGTACACGATGTCGCCTCTCATTGAAGAACGCACGTCAATGCGGCGAACACACACGTGCACGTGACACACATACACGCCCAAAGTGGCGGGGAAACTGCATGGTTGAAATACATGGCACGAGTACCGTTAACAACAACAACGACAACGACAGTGGGGTGGCGGAAAAAGTATAGGGATTGTCCCATTTTCATTGCATGTATGCATCTTGATTGGGCCAAGTCCAATGTAAAAGAAAACTAATTCATATTTTTTTTTCTCTTGATTATTATTATTCACTTGTTCGCCTTCTTAAACGCCTCGACTACTTCAGCGCTCGTTTCCTCGTGTGGGGTTGCGAGCCATTCCCTCACTGTCTCGTCATGTACAAGGCCAATGGAGTGCAACGAGGCAATGATGCGGCCAGTAAGTGGCGCCTGCCCGCGTGTTGACATTTCCACTAGGGACTGCACAACTTGAAGCGGCAGGACGGCGTTCTCGTCCGTCGCTGGGCGGGGTATTTTCTCCCAGAACTCCATCATTGTATCAAGCACCATCTCATCGGGCTCCCGCATCAAGCCATACGCCGTGCACAACACGCGTGCCGTGTCATAATACACATCCGCAACGGTATTCTCGCCAGAAGTAATTCGAAGCATGTTGATAAAGCGCTCGCTAAACTTCGGCACATCCTCCAAGATCCCTTCCTCAATGGCGGAGACCAACGCCATGGCAAAGCCGTCCAAAACCTCATCGTCTTCCAGGAAGAGCCCTACGATAAGAAAGCTGCTCGCCTCCCGCTGAGCCTCCTTCTTTGTGGTCATGCACGCCTCTCGTACGACCACTTCTGCCGCCGCCTTGCAAAGGGCATCTTCCGAGTCAAAATGCCGCTGGCAGTGACGGAACTCATTCATCCATTCCGGAATAAAGTCGTTGGAGCACTCGGCAACCCACTCCTGGAAGAGGGACCGGACACGTGCCTCAAAATTCACCGTTTCAACGGCCCGCGCAACGGTAGCATCCCGTGGCGACTGAGGCGACTTGACGACGTTGCTCCAACTGCGACCACCCGCCTCTCCCATCGCTGTCTTCGCTGCTGCGGCAGCTGCTGCTTGCTGTGAGGCCGGATCGGAAACGGAATCTTGCCTTCCCTTCTTGCTTCCACTGGACGATGCATTCATCGAGGAGCGTGTGGCAACCACTTTGTCCGTCACCCGTGTGGGTTCCCGCTGCGTCTGAGAGGAAGTTTTTGGTGCCGCTGTTGCCCGTCGCTCCCAGTTAAATTTACTGCGAAGTTCAATGAGGTCGAGCATCTTAAAACGAATACGTGGGGGATAAACCTCCTTCTGGTCCTTCAATTTTTCCAGAAGCTCAAAGTACCCGTTCAGCCTCACACGCAGCTCAGGCACGGCGTCAAGACTCTCGCCAATGGTTAAAAAGAGTTCTGTAAGGAACTCAATGTCTTCGCTTGTGGGGTATCCTCCCCTTTCTGCCTCCTGCATGATGGTTTGAATAATGTTCATCATTGTGTTGCAAGAAAGGACTTTGTGCATAAACAATTCTCCAATAAATTTCATGTTCGCTCGCTTGCGCCGCATGAAGGTGGTGCGCCGCAGCTCCATCTCCTCCTCCGTGAGCCCCTCCATCGACGGCATCTTCCGCCGGCTCAGAAACTCCTCCTGTGCAATGCTGACTACGGCATTACGCAGCTTGGAGTATTTCTTGCCCTCCGCCTTTTGCTTGGCGGCGGTGATTCCCACTTCAAACTCCGCCAGCTTGTAACAGACACCCGCGTATGACTTACTACACTCCGGCTCATCCAATGCCTTCTTGAAGATAATCCTCACCGCTATGTTTAGTGTCTCCTTCGTGGAAAAAATTACCTCCGTCTGGAGCTTCGCCACCATGTCGTCAAAATTCGCCGTGCTCAGTTTATTGAGTGAGCCCTGCACCAGCCGCTCCACCCACTCCTCCGTCGTCTTCGCCGAGCCCCGAGCAACCCACGCGTTGGCGCCTCGCACAAGTTTTGTCTGCGTCATTTTCTTCCGCCGACACGCCTCTTCAAGAGAAAAGCCCGGGTACGGCGCATCTTTGTACATGGACCGCACCTCAAGTATCTGCTGAATGGAATAGACGTGCATGTTTTCCCCCTCCACACTTCTTTCCCCTCCAAGCACAAGGACACACACACAAAAAAAAAAAAAAACACGCAGGGAAAGCAAAAAAATTCAAAAATAATCACTTTAAAAGTAAAAATAAATGAATAAAAATTATAGTTGAGATTCGCTTCGGCCCCAACCAATTACGCACGTTCACCTTCAGCTGCACCATGTTGGGTGAGAAAAAAGAGCAGAAGTAGAAAAAAAAAGGATACACGCTACACCCACCAGCAACCCCGCTCACACAAAGTCTTCGGCGTAGGAATACGGGCCGATATACATGCACACATGCACACACACACACACACAGAGAGAGAGAGAGAGAGAGCAGAAGAAAGGGTACGAGAAAACAACAACAAAAAAAGAAGAGGGGGATTCACGTAAGATTCATAATGTCGTCAAGAAAGGCATCGACCTCGTCACGAGTATCGGAGACCGGGATGGGCGAACTTCTTCCCGCTGCGACGGCTGGCGGACACTTGACGCTTCCCTCCATACGCTGACGTTTGTCGCTACACAACGACGACGACCCTTCAATTTGACGCTTCGCCTCCGCAAGGCGCTTCGGCAAAAAGTCGCGATCCAGCCGCCCACGCTCCATTTCCATCACTACAGCGTGTCCATGTAGTCGACGCTTGCGGCTGTGTGCAACCGCCTTTCGGGCCTCCGCCTCCAACCCAAACTGGACGAAACCATACCTGCGGCTCTTCCCATTGTGGTCGCATATGAGGCGTACGCTCACCACCCGGCCGAATTGCTCCCCGAACAAACGTATGTCCTCCTCTAAAGACTTGGGATGCAGACTAGAGACCACCACGGTGCTCCGGGGATCTGTGCGGATGTTGATGTCAGTGTATGGGTTGCGGCGTTCCATCTCGAGCATCATTTTATGCTTCCAGACATCCTGTTTGCTCTTTGCTCCATCCCCTTCCGGTGGGTCCGTCTTCGTCATTGTTGGCGGTGAGGCGGAGGAGCAGGAGGATGACACGTGCTCTTTTTCAGCACTCACAATCTCCAGGGCTCGCTTATAAAAGGAATGAACAGGGGCATTGGCGATAGGCTCAGGGCGGCGACGACACTTCGGAATAAACGGTGGAGGCGGTCTGCTCTGAAAGAATGTCATCTTCCACAACATATGTTCCTCCACACGTCGCTTAAGAGCCTCCTTGCGTGCAACATCGTCCTCGCTCGGGGCTTGCATGACCTACAACCTCAGGTCAACAAAGATTAAAAAAAAAAAAAGAAAAGAAGATGGCGACTCCTACAGAAGCACATCCACGTGTTGTATTATAAAACAGAGGAAAAAGAGAAAAATAATTAAAAAAAAAAAAGAAAAACTATTTTGCATCGGGTTCTAATAATTAAATAATAATAATAATAATAATAAGAGAAAGAAATAATCGCCTTTAAATCCGCCTGTCTTCTGTCTATAGATACACTTACTTACATAGGCAAATACAAATATAGACATCTATGTATATATATATATATATATATATAGATGTCTACTCGGCTGTCAAGTACCTGGGCAGACCATTATATCTAACTCATATATATATACATATATAATAGAGAGAGAGAGAGAGTTCAAGAAAAAAAAAAAAACAGGAATTGGCATTATTCGGTCTCCCTTCTATCGGAAGAGAAAGGCATGCTCTTCAATGAAGTGCCATCACACGACTCAGCGTTCGTGGCGGATTTCATCCTTTTTGGCATCACTTTCGGCATCCCTCGTAGCTCAACGTGGCAGTAAAGCGTGTTCGTTGCATTCACTACAAGACCCTCAGCAAAAAAGTGTAGCCACATGGCGGAGGCGCGGAATATGTCTAGTTTTACAAGATTCCGTAACTCGCCCGGCGTCAATCGAAGTCCCGAGTGTCGAGAACGCTTGCCACGGCTCGTAATTTGTCCCTCCGCCTCAATAAAAACCGGCGGTGGGATATGCCACTCGGCACAAAATGCCCTCTTCTTCTCGCTGAGCGCATCCCACTTCGCCTCCGTCTCTGACTGTATCTTCATTGGCTCGCCAAAAGTGGGTTTCACTCCTGTGAGCTGACTGATGCCTAGTACCCACGCCTCGAATTCGGCCACAGTATCGCAAGCAAAACCCGTGATCTTCGTCTTGTTCTCCTGCTGGGACACAACACCCCAGCTTGTATAATACAAACTCGATCCAGTGGGCGCACAGGGTCGCCCCAGGAGTATTTGCCTGACGCTGCGCAACGGAATCCGGTCCTCACGTCCCAGCATCCCTGCCACAGACCAGGAGAGCTGCTCATTACCCGCTTTCCCATCCACATACAGAAGCCGGCGGTGTGGCAAGCCGCCTCTCGAGTACTTCATCACCTTCCCGCCCATCTTCACAAAAGAGTAAATGTCTTCCAGCAGCTCCGCCGTATCAAACCGCGTACCACGACACTTCTTTCCTGCATCACTGCCCTCCACAGATTGGGATTTCCAGTACTGGTGGGGTCGAGGTACTGAGTCGTCATTGAAAGCTAGGTGGCTCCCAAGTGGCATTGGATCGCCGTGCCGAAGTTCTTCTTCAGGCTTAAGTGATGTCCCCACCGCGTTGCCCGCCATGTCGCACACAACGTGGTGCAACCAATCGTAATTGCTCTGCGGCTGTGGTGCGGCTCCCCACTGCCATTGATGCCGCTGTTCCTGCCTGGCCAGTTCCCCGGAAAGTCGCTGGGTTTCGCACATCAAACGACACAATTCATCGCGTAGAGTGGCAGAATAAACTGCACATGCGGCAAACTCGGAGAGTCGTGCCCATGATTCTTCCCCTTGGTTTAATAGGTGAGCCTCTCTCGGCTCCAGAGCTGTTGAATCGGCGGCAACAGGATCTACCGCAGCATCGTCAGCACACATTAGCTTCTCCTCCAAGGCACGCAGTGTGTGCCCCGCCTCCTCCAGACATTCGGCAATCTTCTGATGCTTCTTCTGCATTCCACAGCGCATAACCCGGGCGTCCTCAACCTGGGCTAAAGACATATTCACTTCATCCATCAACGCCCGTTCCTTAGCGTCCCCCTGACCCTCTGTTTGCGTTGAAAAATTTTCAATCTGAGTACACACACTATTCCACCTCTTTTTCCAATCTGTAACTATTTCTTTCCGCAGCAACCGCCTTTCCGCCTCCATCTGTTGCTGCTCCACCAAACTCTGATTCTTTCCGCTGGCACTTGCCTTGAAGGCCTCGCACATCATACTCGCCGCCATTCTGCGGATCTCACACTCGGGCCTCCTCAAGTGAAAAGCCGGGTCATACAACACATTGTATTGATCATCAGCCACAAGTGGAATAATTTGCGGGGCAGTAAACATGTGTATTTCGCCCGCAATGTGCACATCGGCAATTAATGCTTCGTATTTCCGAAGCAAAGACAAATATTCGCAGACCATATCGTTTTCATCGGATCCACCACTGCGTGGATCTGGCTTCATCGCCTTCACCTTGTCGGCAAAGTACAGGGAGGAAAGCGTCTCGTCCACAGTTAGGGTGGTGGGACTCACATTGACGATAAGAACAACGCGTGCACTTGCTGTTGCAAAGGAGTCGCGAAGGATAGTTGTCAGTTTCGAGTCGCGATACGGAATGTGTCTTGAACCCTCATGCAGACTGTGCACAACATTCCCAAGCGCACTGAGAGACGCATTAATCTTTTTCAACTCGTCAAATCCATCGCCTTTTACGTTGGCGTTGCGCACCTTCTCGCTACCCGCCAAGTCAACAAGTGAAAGTTTACTGTGCATCACTGGGGAATATTCCTCGCCAAAAAGTTGCTGGGAAGCCGTTGGAAACATCGGATTTGAATGCATCCGTGGTGCTTTTCCTTCCAATTGGGCGAGCTGAGCCTCCTCCCTCATAGATATGTACTTTAAAAGATCTAATGGTTGGGCACTGCTGGATGTGATGGGTTGCTGAAAGACTTCGATGGTAAAGACTGCATGCGAACGAGATGAGGTGTCATTGGCGGATGTCATCCGTTGCATCCGCCTTGCCGTCGCCCTCTGAAACACCCTCAGGCCATCCTCAAGGCAGCAGACGGAAACATATGTCAACTTTCCAAAGCGAACCACATCTCTCACAAGAGACATTTGAACAGCAGTGGGTTGTTGCTCGTCAGAGAGCAGGTCTCGTACCTCATCAAGGTAAATCTCCACAGCGGAAAGGCCAACAACAATGTGGAATTTGTTTCTGTTAATCTCTGCGTGGTGCAGAATGTCTTGCAGGGCACGCAACAAAATACCCGTGTCGCTGGTGATGATATCATCCCCTACAGAACTTTTTTGTACCCTACCGAGAACCGTGTGCGTCTTTCCACTGCCCGTTTGACCATATGTAAGAATAGTCGCGTTGGTGCCACGAAGCACGTCATCCACCACGTCCATTGCAAGCTCTTCGTATATCTCCTCCTGGAGTGTATCCTCGTCAAAGACAGCATCGTAGGAAAAGAAGAAGGTCCGACTGTCTATCGCTGGCCGTCCATCCCACACACGAAGAGTCGTGTCAGAATACCGCGAGCAAGCCATTGGCTCGTAGCGTTCGGATCTTTGAAGAGCATTCACCGTGTCATCCAACTTTGGCCGGACCCGTACGCCCACAGTCACACGATTAAAACCAGGCAGCATGCCTCACCTTTTCTCCAGAGGGGAAAAGGATGAAAGGACTATACAATATTACAACCGTCCACCTGGAGGAACTCCCCGACGCAACGTGCCTCAAACTTACGCGAGTGGAAAATCCTCCTCTTCGCCCTTCTCTCTCTCTCTCCTTTTTCTATTGCTCTAGACGAGTGACTCACACCCTCACCCCTCCAACAAAAAGGAAAAACAGCAGAAGAAACAGGAAAAAAAAAAAAAGGAATGTATGCCATCTCGCCCCTCCTCCTCCAGTAGATAATAGGAAAAGAATCCACAATTTACCTGCGCAGCCGGAAGCACATGCCTTGCCGTGTGATGTGAAGACTGATGGATAATAATAATAACAAAAAATGAGGCTAACAAAACGCACACAAGAAAATACAAACAATTTCCCTGGTCCCGCAGACCCAGCGCCCTATGCACCACTGCGACATATCCAACGGAAATAAACTCACCACGAATGGGAAGCAAGCGTACATACTAGAGGAAATCCCTCTTCTTCTCTCACTAATTCCCCAGTACTACTGGAATGGCGGCGCTGCGTGATGGAAGAGCTAGGGGAAAAAACACGGGAAAGAAGAAAGAAAGAAAAATTAAGCATCCACCTCACTCTCCCGTATATATATACATATATATGTACGCTAGCGACTATAGCGTGAAGATTATGCCCTCCTCCATGAGTGCCTCAATGGCAGGCTTGATAAGCATTCTAACAGTGCCTTCCACTTTGCTGTTCGCCCCGGGCACCGTACCAAAGTTTGAAACCACACGGAATTTTTTGAGTGGATCACCAAATAACTGCAGTTTCATCATTCGACGCTTCACTATCACCTTCTTTTCCAAAATATCCGCAAATGACGGGACACTGTTACGTGCCGGAGCGGAGGATTTCAAGACACCGTCAGTGGCTCCATCTGCATCCAGTAAGGGTAATGACGCCTCTGTTGTTTCAAGCACACCTGGTGGTCGCATTCCTCGACGGCCACCGCCAGCAAGAAGAGCCCCGTAACCGAGACAAGTATTCGTGCCAGAAGGACGCACAGAGCGCGATGGACGCCGAACATTATTCTTAACAACCCTCGGTTTCATCTCTGTGTGAAAAATCAATGAAGAATTCTGCTCCCACTGCGGATTCTCTTCTAGTTCATGAAAGATTTCAATGGAGACCATTCCATCAATCTGAATGTCCCGCAATGTCATCTCAAAGGGGCAAAAAAAGGGAAGTGCAAAATTTGCATCGGCCTCCTCCGCGCTCGCCCCGACAGTGTCCAAGTTAATCTCTAATCCTCGCAGCCGCATCGAAAAATCGCCATGGTAGTGGACCTTCACCATGATGGCGGTGTGCTCCACAGAAAGCTCACGAATTCCATT